TGCTGGGGAAACAGGCCTCCATCACTCTGTGAATGTGGGACCCTCACAGTCCATCTCTCAGAGCCAGGCCCAGGGTTTCCTAAGGTTCTCTCTCTGTGAGCTGATATTTGTCTGGGACTGGATCCTCTCATGGTAGAAAGGTAGATGGATCGGGGCATGGCCACTGCCCGCAGTAACCCAGGAACCTCATAGAGGGCGGTATCCATGTGGTGATGGTGCTGTGAGGCCTAAGAAAAGTCTGCAGGCTGCACACGTGGAAGGTCAGTTTTTCTGAGCTGTTGAGTCTAGAGTGTAGTTGACAGTGGGCTCCTGTACTTGCTTTTCCCTTGTAATTGGCCAGGCTCCTGGTAAGGGCTCTCCCTGCCCACCTGTCACCTCCCTGCAGCCTCGGGGACACTTTGCAACATACAGGTCCCCCCTAAATCTGTTACTCACCCAGTGAAATAGCATGCAAGCTGATGGAGAAACAAAAAACAAAAAAAACCTCACACTTGCCTCTGAGAAAACTAGTGTGTGCGCATCGGAAAGACTAGGAGAAGCAAGTTGCCTAACAGCTGTGGAGTAGGAGGTGAGGGTGACAGCTGGGGTCAGTTTTGGAACTGTAGTTTGGCAGGAGGCTGGTGGCCCACTCCAGACTCTCAAAGTGGGAATCCTAGACAAGGCTTCAGGGTGTGTTGATGCAGAAGAGACACTGCAAAGCCCAGTCAGCAAGCCCATTCTCAAAGGAAAGCCTTTGGCTGTATGTTCCAAGGTTAAGATACACTTTTGTGTTTTATTTTTTTATTAAAGTTTATTTTTGAGAGAGAGAGACAGAGACAGAGACAGAGAGACAGAGACAGAGTGCTAGCAGGGGAGGGCAGAGGGACAGGGAGACACAGAATCCAAAGCAGCCTCCAGGCTCAGCTGTCAGCACAGAGCCCGACACGGGGCTCGAACTCCCAAACCACTTGAACCGAAGTCAGAGGCTTAACTGACTCAGCTACCCAGCACCCCTCTGTTTTAAATTAATAGCTGTCTGAGGCATTTTTTCCCCTGGCTTTTCAATTCACCAAGCCACTAACCATCACTTAAATAAGAGAGTTTCTTCTTCATCTCTTTGGTGGATTTTGAAAAACAGAAAATATTTGTGTGATAAATGAAAAATACATTTTTACCAAAAAAAGTCTCACTTATATTTATTCATAAAATATTTTAGATAATGTATGTGAGCGCTTTTAGCTGATAAACTACCACATGGAGAAAGTCTCATCTGTCTGGGCTGGCTTACCCTCAGCATTAGTACAGGTACAGCAATGATGCGCTTTATTATTTTCTCTCTTTGCTTTAAGCTTCTTGATAATTTGGGGTTTTTTAATGTTTTATTTATTTCTGAGAGAGATAGAGAGAGAGAGAGAGAGAGAGAGACAGTGTTAGCAGGGAGGGTCAGAGAGAGAGGGAGACACAGAATCCCAAGCAGGCTCCAGGCCCTGAGCTGTCAGCACAGAGCCCAATGCGAGGTTCGAACTCACGGACCGTGAGATCATGACCTGAGCCGAAGTTGGATGCTTAACTGACTGAGCCACTCAGGTTCCCCATAAGCTTCTTGATAATTTGTAAGAGTGGCTTTTGGTTAGCTGTGTGGTGGCTTGTTTTAACTTGAGCTCCCAGAGAACTTCCTGTGAAGATGGACATGTTTTCCACCTGTGATGTCACAGCCACAAACCATGCCTGGCCCTGAGCTCCAGTTTGAAATTCAGCTACTGCGACTGAGGAACTGAATTTTTATTGTATTTAATTTTAATTAATTTAGATTTAAATTTAAATGGTCACACATAGCGAGGGGTTGCCAGACTGGAAAGTGCAGCTCTGGGACTTGTTTCTCAGTTTTATAGCAATGTACCCACGGGTTCACTTTCTTTTAATTGTTGTTTAAGCTAAAACTACTGACTTTTGTTAAATAACAATGGTGATAGCAAGTATCTAGCCAGGTTCCTGACTTTGCTTGCACACTGTGTTTAACCATTTCTAATAATACTTTCTAACGTAAACAAATAGTCTTTGTCATATTAGAGTGGTCTCGTTATGTTATTTTCTTATTTAGAGTTTTTGAACATCAGGAATGGTTGCTAAATTCTGTCAGGTAACCTTTCAGAGTCTATTTGATATGCACAGACTTTTCCTCCTTTCAGGTAGACTCTTGATTTTATCATCACCATCGTAAATACCAAGGGTTGCCACCAGCGCATGACAAAAATCAACTCCTCATGCAGGCCTGATTGACAGCCTCCCCTGGGCCGCCTTGTCTTCCACAATCCAGACTGCTCATCATTTTTCAGACTAGCCTTTGCTCCCACATGTAATGTCTTCATTCCTACTGTTCTTTTATTGAGAGTGGGCCCTGTGTGTCACACTTCTGTCCCTCCTCCAATCTGCCCTCCAACAGTCATGTCACAATTGTTGGTCTGCATTATGATCACATCTGACCACATAACAATCAATATTTCCTTTCTTGTATAACTTTATGCTTTTCCTGGAACAGTAAGTGCCTGACTTTTCTATTTCTTCATTTTCTATGAATCTATTGATAATTAGGCATCAACCTTTGTACCAGAACAACAAAATACTCTCAGGACAATTGCATCCAAAAGGTTATCACAAAGCCATTTCTTCCTTAGAGCCTCTCCTCCTGGGCCCCCACCCTCCTGCCCCAGTAGGCCTGGCTGATCTGGGGCCTCCTGTGGGTCCTGATATAGTTAGGTGGCAGAGGTCAGCCTTCAGGAAAAACTGACAGGGGAAGGAAGGATGGAGGTCTCAATGCTCAGAAGTCACACTTAACGTGATTCTCTTGAATTCAGTCCCGGGGGGGTCCTGCATCCAGAGCCCTTCCAGTGGGTGTCAACTTCCGCTTGCTTCTCGCCCTGCTGCGGGCTCGTTAGGGTGTCCCTGTGCTCTGCCTCAATACTTCCCACACATACATTTTTTATCTTCGAAGCTTATTGACATCTCTGGCTGCAGCCCTTTTCAAACATGTTGATGTCATTTTTGTGAGATTTGGGAAGTAGAAGAGAGAAGCTCATTGACTCGTCACTGGCTGTCTCCTGCCCTCAGACTCACCACGGATGTAAATGTCTCATTGCCAGCCTGCCGTCCTCCTCTGCACTGGCCCCTGGGCCCGGCAGACCATTCTCCCTGCTCGACTGTAGGTAGGAAGGCCGGTTACTCTCGGCCACCATAGCCTCTGAGTCCTACATTGCCTGCTATGTGTGGGTCCATTTAATGCACAATAAAGGAACTGCTTGCCAGCAGTTGAAGGGACTGGCCCATCAGACTCTAGGTACTTAAGTCAAATCTTACTATACTGGGAAAAGAGTGACTGAAATGAACCCGTGGACTTAATAAATCTCCATTAAGATTTCATTGTTAAAGCAGAAATTTGTCATTTTTGTGGTGAAGACATTGAACCTTCACAATAACCCATGGCCAATGGTCAGAACACACTGCTTTCCCAGTGGTAGAAAGGCTCGGCCACTACTGTTTCCCTGGAGACTTGGACACCTTCACTTTCTACCTCACTGGATCTCTGTTGAGAACCCCGGCCCTGACCTGTGTCATCTGAGGCTCAGCAGCCACCCCCTGTCCTGTGCCAGCATGGGGCAGTGTCCCATGTGGTCTCGTTGCAGGGCCACTCCCTGCCCTGGTCTCTCCAGCCTGGGCACAGCTTGGAGTAGCTAGTGATTCATTTGTACTTGATGACTTACTCTGAGTATTTCTTTAAGAGCAATATTTTCTTTAAATATGTAAGGACCTTAATATAGTATGAATTTATTACTCATTTAATCATTGGTATGTAATTAAATTTTTAGAACGAATATATTTTCATTTTTATTTTAAAAACTTCTAGAAAGTATTTTCATCTGCAAAACTTGGTTTATACCCAACTTATCAGAGACATCTGGATTCTTGAACTAAAACACTCCCGTGTTGGAACCAAGAATGTAAATACTCCATTGGTGTTTTTGCACAGTTACCATGCAGGGCTGGGCAGCACATCAGAACTATTGTTTGTCTATTGTTTCTACCAAGACTAGCACCTCCAAGATCGAAGTTAATACGATATCAGTACCTTGAACTTGTAGTAAAAGCCTTGGGTTCAAATGTGGATTCAGTCATGGTTTGTGTGATGTTGAGAGGTCATTGCTTTTCACCTTGAATGACTGACACATTTGTACCCTTATACAGGGTGCGGTGGTTGCTAAGACCCTGCAAGAGATCTGGAGAAGGGCTGAAGCTATAACATTGTACAAATCAGGTTATTTGATAACTGCATAAGGGTAACCTAAGATTTCATTACTTAGATGTCATCTTGACTACTAAAATCAAGCAAATCTTGAGGGCACTTGTTGTGATGAGCACTGAGTGTTATATGGAAACCAACTTGACAATAAACTATATAAATAAATACATAAACATTAAAAAAAAAAAAAGAAAATTACATTACCAAACAAAATCAAGTAAATCTTATCAAATGTTTAAATGTGTAATTATCCTTGAGATCAGGTCCCCTAAAAGCAGAAGTATACCTTCATTCAGGGGGTGCTAGGCCTCCAGGACGTATACAAACCGCCAGCAGTACCCGTATTATCACACTGGGGTAAGCACATCAGCGGGAAAGAAGTAATGAGTCTATTAAATTCAGCAGCGCACAGTGCACGCTGGGTTACTCAGATACTTTCTACCACCCACACATCTGGTCATTTCTCCAAACCTGATTAAAACGAACACAGAAGCTAACTATATTCTCAGTAATACTGTGGGTGCAAGCTTGTTTCACAAAAAGCTAATTTGCAAAGTAGTTACCTAAGTAATGCACTGTGCGCTCACAAAGCTTTTGAGCAGATGTGCTCCTGTCGACCTGAGCGCCCCCCCAGCAGCGACAAGTGTGCTTCCTTTGCCCTGGTTAGTCCTTCTTACGCTGTCTCTCCCTTCTAGCCTGCACTGGCGTCTGGGACAACATTACGTGCTGGCGCCCTGCGGATGTAGGCGAGACGGTCACAGTGCCCTGTCCTAAAGTGTTCAGCAACTTTTACAGCAAACCAGGTACGTCTGTCAGCGCCGTGTCTAACTAAACCCCCGCAGAGGCTGTGGGCTGGTTTCTCCACTGAAGGCAGCAAGAAGCAGCTCATCCGTTTCCTTTACTAAGTGAGTCAGGGAGCAGCTGTGCCATCACGTACTGAGCTGGTGTGAGGAGCGGGAGGATGAGAAGCCTCGTGCCAGGTCAGCCAGCTCAGGCGAAACAGCAGGGAGAGCCCCAGGCAAGCGCGTGTGAGCCTGATGTGTGAGCACCACAGTGGGCGCAATGCCGGCGAGGAGCCACTGGCTTTAGGCACCAAAGAGACATCCGTGCAGTCCCGTGCCTCCCTGCCACGTGTGGGTGCCCGTAAGCCATCAGAGAGTGTCCTCCAGAGGTTTGGAGGCGCCCTGACGCTCAGGGACAGTGGCCAGCCTCTCCTCGCGCCCAGAAGCAGTTTCTCGTCCACAGGAAACATCTTGCTCATTGGACTGAGCTCAGCTCCCAGCTCCCACTTTCTGAACTAGCTCCACGTGGCCGGAAGACCCACTGTCCCTCTGCCTCCAGGGTCAGGAGGGGCGGGCGGGGCTGGGCTTCCGTGGTCCCGCGCCTCTGCTCTCCGCAGGCCCCCGCAACATCTCTCGGCTTGTTCCCAGGAAGGCGGTTGTGCTGTGTTGTATTGTGGTCTTTGTTTTGTTTTGTTGTGAACAATCCAGACTTTCACAACATGAAGAAATCTGTCTGGAAAAGAGAAAAGAGAAGATACATCTGGGAATCAGAAAGGCCCATTACTTTAGAGCACTACAGAGAACTTACTTTCAGCTTGAGCAAGCGTTACAGGGTAAAAACTCTGAGAAGTAGAATTGTTGAGGCACTCTAAGCAGACATTTGTGGCACAGGTTGGGATGGAGGAAAAGAAAGGTTTCCTTTTATCCCTGTGACTTGCAAGGTGAGACTCTTCCTGAGTGAGTCAGTGAAACAGTTTGAGGGTACCTGAGGTCATACCTGCATATGCATTCTTGGTCATCTTCCGGTTAGAAAAACTAAATCGTTTTAGAAAATCTAAACTTTAAAAAATATCCTGTCCAATCAACATTTCTACTGGATGGTTTGGGCTATAAATATCCTCCCAGAAATCTCAAATGAGTTAGCATAGACCTAGACTTCCCCTAGTAGATGGTAGGTTCTAAATGCCCAGGGGGCACCCGGGGGTTCACACTGGGAAGCACAGAGCTCCGATTCCTGGGCCATCTGCTGTGAGTGCCTGAGCTCTGCTGGGGGGGGGGGGGGCGGGCGGGCATCCGGGGCACCCAGTGCCCAGGTCAGCTTAGAATCTGACTCTGCTATGAATCATTGTGCACCTTCTCCTTTGGAGAATGAAGGCTCCCAATCTGTCTTGGGTTAAATGCTTGATGCTCTTTTTTATCCAAACAGGGAACATAACACCGCCTTGCTGTTGTGGGAACATCTCCACTACTCAGAAATTTCCCTAAGTCTGTATATCACAGTGAGATGATCTGAAATGTAGATGCACTCCCTTGTTTAACTGGTCACAGAAACTGTGAACCATGAGGCACTTACACAGATTGTTGACAAGTTGTGGTCCATGTGAATGTTGTCTCTGAGAGTGCTGCACAGAGTATGGACATTAGAAAAATGTGGACATAATCTGGAGCTGGGGGCTGAGTAGGGCTGGGGCTGGGGCTGACAGGCATCAGATGGCAATGGGCTGAGGCCTCAAAGATGAAATTTGGCAGAGATAAAAGGGGTGGTCTTTAAAAAAATTTTTTTTTAATGTTTATTTATTTTTGAGAGAGAGAGAGAAACAGAGTGTGAGCAGGGGAGGGGCAGAGAGAGGGAGACATAGAATTCAAAGCGGGCTCCAGGCTCCGAGCTGTCAGCCCAGAGCCCAGCGTGGGGCTTGAACCCACAGACTCTGCACTGAGATCATGACCTGAGCCGAAGTCAGACGCTTAACTGACTGAGCCACCCAGGCGCCCCAAAAGGAGTGGTCTTGAAATACAATTAAGTATTTAACTGAACCAGGAGGGCTTGGATCTGTATGTTACTTTCCAGTTAACAGAAAGCACTTACAAATATGATAGCTGCTCCTCACAGTGACCTGCGGGGAGAGCCAGAGCATAGAGTGACTTGTGATTATTTCGGCCCATAGACCCTGATGTTCAAGAAATAGATCTGTGTTTTCGTAAAAACTGTTTCTCTTCTGAGTCCCCTGCTACTGGTAGGGGGAAATCAGGCGGGCTCTCTGCTGTCATGGCCACCAGCACCTTGCTCTGCTGTCCTGACGCTGCATGAGCCCCAGGGTCCGCGGGAGGCTCCTCTGAGCTGTGCTAGGATATGGGGTGCAAAGCCACTCCCACAGGCCAGCAGGGTGACAGGGAAGCTGTGGGGACTCAGCTTAGCACCGAGGATGAGCCTTTAACAGGGACAGTGACAAACCCTCATGTGAAGGAGGAGGCAGGCTCGGAGACCAAGGTTTGTTCTGAGGAGCTGACCCCTCAGGGCACGTGGTGCCAGCATGGGTAGCGTTTCTCCAGGCCCGAGAGAGGGCGGGCGCGTCTGCATCGGAGGCAGAGCCGGGACAGATGGACAGCAAGACGGTCCAGAGCACAGGCCCTGAGGCTCTGAGTTCTGGCTCTGCCAGCTTGTCCTGGGGGGACAAGAGTGAGTCCCGAAACTAGCTGCGCATTCGGGTCGCGGTCAGACCTTCCCTGGAGGGCTGTGGAGCCTAACACAGGGCCTGCAACACAGAGCTCACACTTGGGAGCTGCTCTCGCGTCAGACTGGGTCGTCTGGAAAGCAGGGACCCCCGTCCCGCTGTAGTCACAGTACCCCGTGGAGGCACACGCACCCTCCCTGCCTCTGCGGCAGCCAAGGGCCCTCCTAACAGTCACACTCGTTCTCATACTCAGTGAGCTTGTAATCAGCCGTGGGGAGCACGGGAGAGAGGCACCTGTCACCTCTCTGCTGAGGGCCCCAGGCACTGCTGCTTAGCTTAGGGCTCCAGCAGAGGGAGTTCACAAAGATTGGGGGGTCCTCACAAAGTGGTGGGAGTTCCCACCAAGCAGATGGTCCCATAGAGGAGGTCCCCACAGAGGCGAGTGGGGAGGGGTCCGCTCACAGAGGAGGGAGGAGGTCCAAGCTCCTGAGTTACAGAGCTGTGGCTTCTCCCGTTTCTCCTACCTGGTCCCCCTCCCACCTCCCTGGCTCCCCTCTCACCTCCCTGAGCCCTTTCTCACTTCCCCAGACTCCCTCCCACCTCCCTGGCCCCCTCACAGTCTTGGGGCTCCTCTTACTCCTCAGCCCCCCTCACCTTGCCAGGCCCTGTCTCACCTCTCAAGCCAACTTGGCCTCCCGAACCTCCCCCGTCTCCCCGGCCCCCTCTTACTCCCATGAGCCTTCACTCACCTTATGGGCCTCTCTCACTTCTCTGGCTCCCCTCTTGCCTCCTGGTCCCCTTTTCACCTCTCTGACTCCCCCCCACCTCTTCAGCACCCCCTTACCTCCCAGCCCCTTTCTGGCCCCCTTTCCCGGCCCACTCTCCCCTCCTCGGCCCCCTCCCACCTCCCAGCCCCTCCCTCCCCTCCCTGGTCCCTGTCTCCCCTCCCCAGGATCCCCTCACCTCCCTGCCCTCCCTCACTCACCTCCCCAGGCTCCCTCTCCCCTTCCGGGGCCCTGTCTACACATTGCTGCCTCAAGCATTTCCCGGAAGCTCACCTCCCCCCTCTGCCTCCAGGTGTCTTCCAGGCAAGATAGAGAACCTGTGGGGGACCTTGACTTCATGCAGTAAAGTTCATTTCAGTGTCTTCTTTAGTGTTTGCTGTGTATTAATGAGGAATGGCCGGCTCAGCGCCCGCTCCTGGCCCCCCGCACAGAGCTCAGGTATAGGTCCCCGGAGCTGGGCAATGCGGGTCGGGCGGCTGGCTTGCTGTGCCGATAAGGAGCCCCCTGCCTGGGATTGGAACGGGGCCCCTCGCCTGTCAGTTCAGGTCCCCCTCCTGTGACATAGGACCATCAAAGGACCCCCCATGCAGTCATCAGGGTTAAACGGGGGCCTCGGCACCAAGCCTGGCATAGGGCAGCCACAGCCACCCCCACTGCTGTTCTGATTCCTGACCCTGGGCAGGTCTTTATCTCCGGTGGGCCTCAGTCTCCCCATCTAGGAAACAGGGCAGTGGGGCCACATCTCTCAGGACTCTGTCCTCTCTCCACTCTCCACTGTGGTCCCGGCCCTCCAGCCGCCCCCAGGCCCCCTGGGACTCCCTCTGGAGCAGGAGCAGAGGAGGCTTGGGGCCTGGACTCAGAAAACTGCCCGGGATGCTGGTGTTGGAGAGCGCGGGGCAGCACAAGCGCTGGAGATGCTGCCGGGGCCTTTGTGGAGACACCGGCAGGTCAGGGTCTGGGCCTCCCCCTGCCTCCGCACAGCGTGCCAGGAATCCCTCCACATACTATCACCTCAACGTGAGTGTGCTTTGCTCTTGATTTTGTCTGATTATTCAGTCAGAGCAATGAACATGTAGGCTGCCCTGGGGTTGGCAAAATAAGGAGTTTTTGAGTTCGAAAACCTATCTCAGCCACTCAGTCATTACAGAACCTCAGGCGTGTGATGGAACCCTCGGAATCTCATTTTCTCAGGTGTAAAATGGGGACAGTCTTGCCCTCACGACTGCCTCACGGTGGTGGCTTATGTGAGTGGAAATATTTGCTATCCTAAACCCCACAGGGGCTGTGAGTCACCGAGGACCCTCTGGGGGATCAGCTGCTGGTAGAGAGGAAGGGCCTCCCGGGCTCCAGCCTCCCAAAGCCCACCCCGCAAGACCAAGCCCCATCACAAGTCACCGGTGCACTCAACATCACTCAATGACTATGGTCACCTGCTGAGGACACAGTCATTTAAGTAGCCTGAGGGAACATTGCATTCCTGAGTTTAACATACACATTTACATTAATTAGGAGCAAAACAATGGTACTATTAGATCAAAACTGCCTTTATTTCATGTGATTTAAATCTTAGACCCACAGTCTCTTCCTCCAACATTAGCAGTCAGCGGTGCTTACCTGTGCGCTCTGGTCACTGTGGCCGGAGTAGCGGCGTGAGGGAGTAGCGGCGTGAGGGAGTAGCGGCGTGAGGGAGTAGCGGCGTGAGAGAGCTGCACAGAACAGGGTGGAACGGGACAGCAGGCCCCGGAATTGTCTCTCACCGGACAGAATACAAGTTGTTCATGTTCACTGTTCTCTGTAATGACAGCACCAGCCATTGCCGTGATCACCAGCATAGCTACTGTCACACCGCACCTGTGCCTTGTTGACACGCGCTCCCGCGAGCCAGCGAGGCCCTGCCCAACCCAGGCCTCAAGGGTGGGAAGCCCAGCAGGCGAACACCCTTACCTCCAAGCACTGCCGACGCCGTCGCTACTAAGGCCAGCTGTCGTGGACCCGCAGACCTGACACCTGAACTTTACCTTCCAGGAAACATAAGCAAAAACTGCACAAGTGATGGGTGGTCAGAGATGTTTCCGGATTTCATAGACGCGTGCGGGTATAATGACCCCGAGGACGAGAGCAAGGTAAGGACCCCTGCGTGGTTCCCTGTACTTTTTCGCCCCTTTCCAGAAGTGCACATGAAACAACGTCCGTCTGCTGCTCTGAGAGAATTAGGCAGGTTTCCTTTCCCCCAAAGAGCAGTCCGACTTAAGGGCCCTATTTCAGTTCTGTGCTGGGCACTTGGAAGCCCTTTCTTATCCTGTCGTTTTGGAGGCAGAAAGCCTGACCTTCAGGCCTACCTTCCGTTCGTCTGGGTGGCTCTGTCTGTCCGAAATGAGCTTTGAGGAGCATCCATTCCTCTGATGGGTTTCTTTGGCCCATTTGAGGCTTTGCCACAACGTGGGCTGCCGAGAAGCCCCGCTGTCGCTCTGTAACCCTGAGCCAGCAGCAGGGGACGGAACTGAGAGTGGAGCGTGTTTGCAAACCGAGAGACTGAGCATGTCCCTGGCCGACAGCGCCCAAGTCATGTTGGGAGCTGTGCTGGTGGCCGGCGTGGTGCAAGGGGGCCGTGGTGGTAGGCTGGGGATGAGCCCTTTCTCTGAGAATGTGATCATTTAGATGACGTGTCAAATCAAGCCTGCTCAACTCTGCTGAGCGCCCGTCTGTGGGGTCAGCCCACAGCCCCAGGGCTGGGGTCGCTGTTCTTTCCTGAACACCCAGCCTGCCCCATTGTACCTTTGTGGTTTTACTCTGTGTGCCGCGAGGAAACCAGATCGCTGTCCTCTGTTGGGCTGCGCCCCTGACGCCATGTGGACAGGTCAACGCCTTCTAACCCTGAAGTCGTGGTGTCTTTTATGCATGTTTCCTGCAGACTTCCGCTTCGTGGGAACATACGTGAGGCCCTCTGAAAGAGCCTGAGGGAGCACCTAGCTCCTCATGCACGTTGCTGTCACCTCCTGCCAACCCTGGGCCCTGCTGTCTTAGCATCAGGGGGACCGTGCTGGTGTCACTGTCAGATACGGTTTCCTGCGGGGCCATCTTTCCTGCCCCGTCTTTACAGACGGGCGGCCTTTGCTCTCCTCACTAAGGGTGATGGCTTAAAGCCAATTTTTCCACCAAATTATTAAACTCTGGAAGAGGAAGTACCTTACATTTTAGCTGATATCTCACTATTGGAAGATGAGTCTCCTGCCGCCTGCCCCATCGTCAGTGAGGGGGGTGCTGGTATAGCGGACACTGGTGAACGTGTACTGTGAGCCACGTCAGTCAAAGCACATGGTCTTTTTCAATGAAGTATTATTGACAAGCAAACCTTGTGTATATTGAAGGTACAGGCACACCTCATTTTACTGCACTTGGCGGGTACTATGTTTTTATAAGTTGAAGTTTGTGGCAAACCTGTGTCAAGTTAGTTTCCAGAGGCCATTTTTCCAGAAGCATTTGCTTACTTCATCTCTCTGTGTCACAGTTTGCTAATTCTGACACAATTTCAAACTTTCTCAGTATTTTATATTTGTCATGGTGATCTGTGATCAGTGATTACGACTCACTGAAAGCTCAGATGATGATTAACATTTTTTAACAGTAAAGTATTTTTTAACTGAGATTGCACATTATATTCTTACCCATAATGCTGTTGCACAGCTAAGAAACCACAGTGTGGTGTAAACATAATCTTACAAGCCCTGGGAGACCAAACAACTCACGTGACTCCCTTTAATGCGATATATGCTTTACTGAAACCAAACGCACTGCACAGACCGTCTATACATGTGTGACGTTGGGATGTGTAGATGTACACGTACATTGTAAAATGATTCCCTCAATCAAGCTAATTATCCATCACCTCACATATTTACCTTGATTTTGGTGAGACACAAAACTCATTCATCTTATAACTGAAAGTTTATACACTTCGACTAACCTGCCCTCGTTTCCCCCACCCCTTATCTAGTTTTTGTGGCAGCCCACCTTACAGATGGAAAAACTGAGGCTCAGAGAAACCATGACATGGTCAGAGGCCCCAGCTCTGTTTCTTTCATGCACGATCACTGAAATTTAGCTTTTCCCCTCAGCATGCAGTCGCCTCTGTGGTGCCTGTGTTCTTTCTGGCCAGCGGGAGCCACTTCGTGGGGAATTGCACCACTGTGCTGCACCCTACACGTCCCACAACACACGAGGGGTGGCTTCCCACCTTCAGCCAAGCTTGTGAAACAGAGAAGCGTAGGCACAGGGCAGCTCTTGGGGCATCACTAAAATGCAACGTATTCAGAAAATGCTTTTTTTTTTTTTTTTTTTTTTTATTTATTTATTTATTTCTAGGAGAGAGAGAGACAGCCTGAGCAGGGGAGGGTCAGAGAGAGAGGGAGTCACAGACTGAAACAGGCTCCAGGCTCTGAGCTGGCAGTCAGCACAGAGCCTGATGCTGGGCTCGAACCCACGAACCGCGAGATCATGACCTAAGCGAAAGTCGGACGCTTAACCGACTAAGCCACCCAGGCGCCCCCAGAAAATGCTTTTAAGTTAATTTATTCTGAGAGAAAAAGAGAGAGAACAGGCAGGAGAGGAGCAGAGAGAGAGAGAGAGAGAGAGAGAATCCCAAACAGGCTCCACACTCTCAGGACAGAGCCCCATGCAGGGCTCTAACCCACGAACTGTGAGATCATGACCTGAGCCAAAATCAAGAGTCAGATGCTCAACCCACTGAGCCACTCAGACCCCCCACATATTCAGAATTTAACGCCACGGAATGCCCCATCGGTTCTTCCTCCTCCCCTGCTTCCGGTCTATCCTGTCTCCGGGTGAGAGCAGTCGGCTCATCCTGGAGTCTAATCACCTCGGACTTTGCACATTGGTGGGGGCTGTGCTACATGCCAGAGTGAGGCTCAGCCTTGGACATTTTCATATCGTTCATATCGTATTTACCAGACTTCGCAGGAAGTCCCAGTGAGATGTCAGCCTCTCGTGAGTCCCCTGTCGGGCAGAAAATGTGAGGTAGCAGAATGCCCTTGAACATGGTGGCCGACGGCTGTGGCAGCCATTTGGCGTCCTTGGGCTTAAGCCGGCCCAGCTGGACAATGGGGGAGGTTGGCCCCATGACCCTGGTGCTGATGCTCCAGGGTGTAGCCCGAAGTCACTGACCTGTTCAGGTCTAATCTGAACTGAGAGCATGTTTCCACAGGAATATACGTATGGATCTCAGGTTCCAGACTAGTCCCCAGCTGCTGTATAGCTTATAATATGACCAACTCACGAGACCATCCTGTTGACCTTCTAAGAATAACACTTGAACTGGTACAGAGTTTACCCCCAGTGTCGGAACAGCTGCTGCAGCGAGAAGAGGTCACAGGGCCTATTCTGCAGACCCTGAATTCTGACCAGACACAGAGGCTGCCCCGCTTCATGATGAGCAGGGCTCTGGAACACTGTCACATGTCACCTGCCTCCCAGGTGACCCTGACGGACGCGGTCAGACCATGTCAGGGGTGAGACGACAGGTCCTAGGGACCAGGAACATCTTGGATCTTGGGGGGGAGGGACTCTGACACCCACGTTCCACCACCCACACCGCTCATTCAACCGTGTGCCGGCATCCCAGGCGCCAGGGGGGACGGAAGCAGAATGTCCCCAGCAGCATTTATTCGGAGCCAGCTGCAGCTCCCTGTAAGAGGATGGGCCTGTCCTCATTCATTCATTCCACAAATAAGCATTTCTTGAGAACCGCCATATTCTGAGTCGGTCCTCAGGGTTACCGTGAACCTGACGTGGCTGTGCTGGTGTCGCGGGTGGGCAGGAGCTGGGCGCTAACTGACATCCGAGGCAATGTTAGCGCACTTCCCAAGTCAAAGCCGCAGCTCCTCCTTCCTTACATTCTCCCTGGGTCACACTGTGGGCCCACTGCATTCCCAGGGAAACTGATGGAAAACTCCTCTGGGTCCACTTGGGCCTTGGAAAATCCTGTGACTAAATCCTGCCTGCGTGAAGCATAGAGCATCCCTACTTTCCTGGTGCTTTTCCATCCTGTTTGAAGAGCTATTTTTCTTCTTAATTAAACATTTCAGAGATTCTATAAATATCATGAATGCATATTCCCTACTAATGGATTAGAAAGTCAAAATATTTTAACGTGTACAAGAAAATGACGGCACGAAATCAAAATGAATAATTTTTCTCCCTGATTGCAGTTTCTGCTGTTCAAATACCTTGAATACTTGCTTGTTTAAGGAATCTCGTAGGAGACAGAAGGCCTGTGGCGTGGCGGCCGCGCAGAGGGCCTGGCGGGTCGAGCCCAGCGGGGCCTCCTCGGGCGCCGGGCTGAAGGGGGGCAGCCTTGCCCTTGAGCCAGCGAGCTCCGCTCCGACGTCGCTCCTCATCTCATCAGTGGCTCACTCTCCTCCCAGTTTTGTGATTTTAATTGGGTTTCCTGCTCTCACACAGCAGCTCTGCTCAGGCTGTTGTGGTGCAATCTTTGTGGGCTTCAAAATTAATTAAGTTCAAGAAAAAAATTAGCCTCCACAAAAGCCACAAGCTTGTCTACAAAGGCAAAGGAATCACAGAATAAAATGAAGTAGGGAAGGGGGAGTCCCATGGAGAAGAGTGGCCGCAGGCCCAGGGGCCTCTCAGACAATGGCGGGAACAATGCTGGTGAAGCTGCTTCTCACTCTAGACCAAGAGGGCCCACGAGTTGCCAGGGCGTTTGGCAGGGGTCTGGGCCTCGGTCTTCTGGGTCTCACAAGCCAGAGTGAAATTGTGAAGCTGGCCAGGCTTGACTCTGGCTCCCTGTCGCTGGGTCCCTGGTGTCATATGCCAGTCTTTCTAGTCTGTGTCCCTCCCCTACCAAAACCACCCTCGGGTGTAGGAGCATTTTCCTCTTGGGCCTTTGATCTTTGGGTCCTTGCATAAAGGGCCTCATCCCGTTAGGGATTTACGAGCGGCCCACAGGGGCCCTCAAGGGTCACACTGGCAGCTGCTCCCTGTCCTTTCCCACGCCCCAGCCCAGGGAGTGTTACAGGGAAAAGCAGGTCAGGTATAGACCACAAGACCCTCTCAGCGGCCCCCCCCCACCCTTTTAGGGGGCATGTGG